AGTCCTCTGGAACAAAGAAGAATCATGAGTAATTTGACAGATGTTTCTGGCAATATCCAACATGGGAAATCTTTATTTTAGGATGATATAAATATTACAAAAGTGGCCTAGTAAATTAGACTATGTTAAAATTAGATTTGTTTCACCTTCTTATAAGAAGAAGCTAATTGTCAAAATGGAATAATGGTAACTCCAAGCTTTCAAAAACCACGACAAGTCAAACCAAGAGTTATTATATCAGTAATGTATTTGGGATCTTTTCTCTATGTCCATGGTGTTTTCATCCTTAGTATTCAGGTGGATGCCAATTTCAAACTGTTCCACACAACCATCAGGCTAAAGGCATTTTTTTAGTTGATGTTATTATTCTTGTATACTGACAAAACCCCAAGCCATAGAAAATACTTCAAACATAATCAGGGCTGATGACTCTGAGAAGAGCAATAAAACTGGTTATCTGATCTCTAAGCAACCAGCCCGTTCACATAACAATTCAATAACGGTTTCAAGCTGTAGCGTGTGTGGCATCTAAAAGGCCAAGTTAACAGAGTATCTTGGGCCAGAAAATCCCATTATTCCTCCTAGCCTTAAAGGCAGTGTCATACCTTAAGACCCAGCTTTTAGTGGCGCCAGCTATCAAACACCTCACCAGGTATACTACTGCATAAGTGATGCTTAGARCATCTCTCCCTTTTTAGTCTTTGATCTGAAGAAAATGTGCACAATTGAAGAAAAGAATCAAGCACTGGGAAAGGCTCTGGAGAGAGCTTGGAATTCAAGAGAACTGGGCATCAGAGTCTGGATTCAGGGTAATTTCAGGAGAAATCAGAGAGCAGATAACCAGCAAAATGAAATGAAATGAAGGACAGTCAAAAAACAGCCATGTGACAACAAAGGAAGAGCTCTGGACAGAAGGAGACATCAATGGGTGGCAGGAAGCAATTGGAGCACAGGGCTATCCTCAGACATTACCRCTTTTAGCACTTCGCTCCAATGACTCTGAAAAATAGTAGAGTTGACATTTTAGTTCARAATATCCAGATCTAATTTTTGGCTCTTGGCTCCTCAGGCTTTTCAAAACAGTTAGCTTCTGTTTCTTGAGGGTGATGCTTTGCAGGATGCACACATCATCTGGAGTGATTTCAAGCCAGTTTCCTTTCATCCCCTTTCATCCCCTTTCCTCCAGAAGACTCCATAAAAAGGAGATGCAGGTGTACTGCAGTTCACAACAAGAGCAACATACTTGTCTTTTGTAGTCAAAAGCTAGAACCTTGTGCATTTGTATTTCGTACTGGTTGMAAGCTGAATTTGCTGACTGCCTGCCTGTTCTTTCCAACCTCGCATACTTGGACTATGTGGGCAGGGAGAGGTCAGATATGAGTTTAGGTWCAAATCTCCACGTTTTCTCAAACCCTTTGTGCACAGTTTTATTTACAAATGGAAAGGAAAGACTAAATTCTTGGGAGTGTCTACATTGACAAMATTTTTGGCTAGAGAACAGACAACCACTAAATTTTACAGGCTTTTAAAAATAAGGTTAACTCTTGTTTTTATTTATCGTGGATTTCATGTTGTCAGGTTTTAGTATAAATATCCAGAATTTTGGATTTCTTGCGTGACTGCACAGAAAGCAGAAGCGGGACACTTTCTCATGGCACTGCCTTGCAATACTTTWGCTTGCCTGGATTAGTTAAAAGCAGTTTACTGGCAACAGAGAAAGTCCCAGTCAATGATATGAGAAGAGCTTTCCAGCTCTTGACCAGTGGGGTGTTGCATACTTTCTATTTTTTTCTTACAGTGAAGCTTTCCAAGGGTGGTACTTAACTCTGTCAATACCTACTCAAAGGCTTTAGACTGCTTTTGCTAAACGATTCAGCAAACAAATGCAGAATTCTTCAGAGGCTTCCACACAACTGTTATCTTTCTGCTGTTATTATCTGCTTGTAAAACTCRGCTTAGGAGGATTACATAAAAACCTCCAGCGCCTGTTCAATATCTTTAAGTTTCTCTCCTGTTACTCCATKGCAGAAGAAATCTTGTGATTATGGGAATCCTGAGCACTTCAAAACTATGCAAGTAAAACAGGTTTTAAAGTATAGCCCACTGACCTACAGATCATTCCTTATAATYGTGGGACTGCAACCGACAATTTTGGGATATCTGGTGTCACTGGTCTGGCCAATATGAGCGGGTGTAAGCACAATTCATTCCAGGTTAGGCTCTCCAAACTTGCAAGGGTGTTTTCCTTAAACAACTACCTTAAAGGCTAAGTGAGAATTGTCTTTTCTTACCTTGCCTTGAGCACCGTATTTGAAAGTGTAATGTTACTACATATCTAATCCTTAATTTACTGTCCATTACTGCTTCCTGAATATGCAGTGCTAAACCTGATCAACACACCATTTTTTAATGAACTACACACCATTTTTTTTATGATTTACACACCATTTTTATGTGGTGGACTCAGTGACTGAGCAACTGGCTTACTTCCCCTCCCAGCACAAGCTCTCACCACTCCACACCACTGGTGTCTGTGCCATCTCTCCACAYAGATGTTCTATACTCAAGCCATTTGTGAGTCACCTGGCATCGATAAAGATATAAACAGTTTATTCTAAGAGGGGATATACTTTGACAAGAGAAAGGAACAAAAATTTCTGCTGCTTTTCCTCCAGTCACCAGCCACTGTGTTAACCATTTGGAAGGCTGTCCAGARGAAAGATGAAGCCTGAACAATGCTTCAGCTTTTGGAGGCCAGGCATGAACCAGAGCCCCACAAAACAGAGGCTGGCAGGCAGGTGGCAGAAAGTCCAGCAATTCACTTGTTGGAGTATCCACCACTGCCTGCAAGGAGTCCTTGAATGGATGAAGCTCAGTTTCTGGGAATATTGCACAATGATMATGTGTCCTCCTCATCCCACTTAGCATTTCCAAAGCACAGGAAAAGGATATTTGTTCATTCCAGCTTACCCTTTAAGTTGACCCCAAGTGTAAGCAAGCAAGCAAGCAAACAAAACAAAACAAAACAAACAAACAAAAAAAAATCCAAAATAAAAAAAACCCACAGAAAACAAAACAAAAAAAAAATAGAAAATTGAAATTGGGAGGGCTTTTAAAACTTGTCTTATTTTTTTTTCCCTTAACATTTTGTACTTTTTCCCTTATCAACAAAGGAGCAGACTTCGCAAAAAAAAAACCAAACCAAAAACCAAAAAAACAATAACCCAATCCAGTTACCTCTTTTTCCCTTGCACTGAGTAAAACCTGGCTGTTTCCATATTGCAAAAGCTGARAAACCCAGGAAATCCCTACTAAGTTTGCATCAGAAGAGCATCAGAAGAACTGACAGCAGGATTGATAAACGATTTGCAGCTTCACACAGTACCAGTATCAGGTCATGCACTGAACTAGCACTCACCTAGTGCCTCAGGGCCTGGAAAGGGTTCATAATTAACTGGACACTTTGAAGAGCAATTAGAAACATACTGCAAATGAGAGAAGGAAGGATGAAAACACAGAATCACATGCAGGCTGTAAGGCTCAGGTAATGGCTTTCACTTCTTGGTCTTCAGTGAATTTGTCATGGAAGCATCCGAATTGTGGGACTCCATACTTTTCCCAGGAGATGCCCCAATCCTGTCCTGACCTCATATCAAGTCTAGATGTTTATCATTTATGCCTGTTTTCTGTGACAAGAAACGTGCTGACAAGTATGAAGGTCTTGCTTTCATACTCAATATGATCCCCCCCTGGAATATCACAGGATCGGGGCCAAGAGTCACACCATAAAATGCATCTGTGCTACAGTTTAGACACAGCCTGGAGTGACCTGTGGCAGCCTTTCATGCTGCCTGAGGAATCCCATATCCAAAGGGTGTGCACTACAATCCCAACCTAAACTGATGCTGCAAAGACTCACGTCACACTCAGTAGCAATTTTTCTCTTATAATTTGAACTTTAAATTTCTGCATTTATTTACATTTATTTCCTTGTGGCTTCAGACTAAATCTTTCAATCTAGATTATCTTCTCTTTGTATTTTCTGTCTATCCGTCATGACCCGTAGCTTTATCTTTCACCAGAAAGTGCAGAGCAGAAACCTCAGAGCAARAGGTTGGCATTTTCCAATCCTTGCTGGAAAGACCTACCCTACCACAAGGGAATACAAAAATCCACATAGAGGCGAACGTGCGTTACAGCACACCACTGCCAGGGCGTCTGTGGGGGTGGCAGTGCCTAATGCTTTCCGTCGGAAACCTCATTTTTCTGTTCGCCACCTTCGGGGCTGTCCCAAGCGCCACTGCCGCCACCAGCGGAGCCGGCGCACCACACACACGTGAGGAGCCGGGAGTTGTCCTCTGTCTCCCAGGCTGAGCACAGGGATGGGTATAAACGTGGCACACAGATTCAGCCAGAAAGTGCAGTGTTTCGCCGCGAGGCAGCTCGTAAAAACTCCCACCAGCTGCTGCTGGGGCCGCGTGGATACGGGCCGGTGCGCAGCGCCGACACTTCAGTGGGAATTGTCCCTTTCCTCGCTAGAACCTCCTTCTCCTCCCCACACGTAACTAAAAGTCCCAAGTCCCCGACAAAAAGTCGCCGACAAAGTGTCTGTCCGCCGGTCGGGACGGGACGGGACGG